CTTCTCACTGAACCTTCTCGTGTGGAGATGGCACTGGCAGCTGGGTAGAGAAGACTGCCATGATGGTTCACGTCCTGAGTAACAAGGGTCTAAGCTAGGGGAGTGGCCATGGACGTGGAGGAGAACTAGACACTAGAGGTTTCCAGGGGAGAATAAGCACCAGGCTCAGCAACTGACTGGAAAGCTTGGGAAAAGGAAGAGTTGGAAGTGGCTTGGAGGTTCCAGGCTTGGGTTTCAGACAAGACAGCCACATGTGTGGGTACCCAGAGGGCTGCCAGAGAGTGTCCACCACCAGAACTGAGTAAGTCAAGAGGGAGCAGCTTTGGAAAAGAAAAAAGGTGCAGAAACATTGAGTTCAGTGTCTTGGCTAGAAAGCCAAGGGAAGTTGCACAGCAGACATTGAGAGGCGTGAGCCTGGGTGGGGTGGGGGGATATTAAGGAGTAAGAGTTACCTGCATGAAAGTGATGGACGAAGCCCAAGGAGAAGGTGAAATTACTGCCCATGTTTAGGGAATCGAGGAGGTGAGAAGAGGCAGGAGGACCAGTCAGGAGGGGTAGGCAGAGGATCGCACGTGCCGCATCACAGACACTCGCCCCTCCTCAGGTCTTGGTGGCATCTGTATGCCATCTGTCACAGCGTGTGCCCTGGGGTGTCTGTGTGTCTCCAGGTTTGCTCCTCCCATCTGTGAGCCACTGAGCACAGGGTTGGTCCTCACACATTTTTATTCCCAGGTTAGGCACGTAATAGGCATCCCACCACCGTGGGCTGAGTGAGCGAATGTATGCACCAGCAAACAGTGTCAGGTGTCCTGCAGAGGTCAAAGCAGAGGAGGGTTGAGCAGTGGCCACTCGACATGGTGACCAGGAGGCTGCAGTCACTGGTGATCTTCAGTAGAGCAGTGGCAAGATTGTGGGAGTGGAATCCAGGTCTCAAATTGCTAAGGATTAGTATTTTTTAGTTCTGGGAAAAGTGGCTGCACTGTCCATGTCCCATCCTATCCACTGCCCTCCCACAGAACATGCTACTGAGCACAGAAAACTTTTCCAACTACATTGTGTTTCACGGAGACTGTCTTTAGCAAACCACTACTTCTCTGTCAGGAGTTCCTGAGTGGCACAAATGGTTAAGCGCTTAGCTACTAATTGAAAGGTTGGCAGTTTGAGTCCACCCAGAGGCACCTTAGAAAAAACACCTGGCGATCTACATTTGAAAGGTCACCGCCTTAAAAACCCTATGGAGCATAGTTCTACTCTGACACACATGGGGTCACCACGAGTCAGAATCGAGTTGACAGCAACTGGAAAATCCATCTGTGAGTTTGTCATACTGTGGTGGCCTGCATGTTGCTATGATGCTGGAAGCTATGCCACCAGTATTGCAAATACCAGTAGGGTCACTCATGGTGGGCAGGTTTCATCAGAGCTTCCAGATTAAGACTAGGAAGAAAGGCCTGGCCATCTACTTCCAAAAATTAGCCAATGAAAACCCTATGGATCACAGCAGAACATTGTCTGATATAGTACTGGAAGATGAGCCCCCTAGATTGGAAGGCACTCAAAGTACCCAGTGGCCACAACAGTGGGCTCAAGCATGCCAGCGATCGTGAAGATGGCACAGGGCCAGGCAACGTTTTGTTCTGTTGTACACGGGGTCACCATGAGTCAGAGCCTACTCGATGGCAGCTAACAACAACAAGAACAGCATCTTTAGCAAAACATCCTTGTGCCATTACCGTCAGTTCCGTATGCCCTGTGTCTTTGGTTAACTAAGCCACGGAGCAGTGTTTTTGCTTAGGGGTGACACTGATTGAGTCACTGGGGCAGGGTCCCGACTCTGCTGACCAGGAACTCTTGGGCTTGCTTTGAAAGCTCAGAAATGGGTAGCAGGAATTCCTGGTGTTTGTAGAAAAGTAATCGCCAAGGCCCACTACGATAATGTGGAAAGATTGTAGAGTTTACTGTTTGGAGTTTCCTTGGGTTGGTCGTCTTGTTCTCTTGGAACACCAACCCTCATAAATACAACTTTTAAAGCTCCTCTAGCAGTCAGAATTAATGACTTGAATTGTATCCTATTGTAGCTTCCATTTGGAAAGAAATCCCAGCCCCTGCCAAGAACATTCTATGTTGCTTGCACTGACTGCAGCAAAGGAAGAAAAATGCCCTCGTTAGCAGATTCGCTGGGCTTTACCCTTTTGCTCTCAGACTTGCTGCTGTTTAGAGGCAGGCATTTCTGCTTGCATGTCCAGCCTTCAGACCAGAGGGAGCCTGAAATAGCACCAAGTAGAGTGGGCAGGACAGATAACTCTCCCAGCCCCTGTGTGTTCCAGAGAATGCATTTCAAGGGCGTCACTGTAGAGCTGACCTGAGAAGCCCACTCGGGGTGGTAGTGCAGTGAGGTGCTGCACCCAGGGCTGCATTCCCCAGTGGAGAGCCCACCGCAGTTGATCTTCTGAACCTGGTTCCATGCATCTCCCACCGAGAGGGACCGAGGAAGGAATGCCATCTTGCCTAATCTCTCCATTGCTCTCTTCTGTTTTGGGGGAGGAAGAGATTCTGTAAAAGGAAAGACAGTGATCTATGAATGCGTCTCTGCTTCAGATGCTTCTCGCCATCTGGTCATCCCCACCCTGCAAAAGAAGGTGACCACCTATCTTGCTGGGGGCCACCTGTCCTGCTAGCGGCCACCACTCTAGGGCCAGGGCCATGAGCCTGACTTCCTGAAGCAGAGGAGATGTTTTTCCCAATCACCTTTGGCTGAGATGAATATTCTCACCTTTAGAATGGGGATACTGAGGCTCATACCTGAATCTGTAGTTATGCTCAGACATATGCCTGGTGCCCGCAGCCTACAGCATAGCACTTTGGAGGAAAAGCTGGCTGCCAGCTTGCCGGGGTAACCTCGCCCTAGTCATGAGGCCAGTTAGCTAAAATTTGAAGTCAGGTCTGAGCATACTTTTGTTCTTGGAAGTGAAGTTTTAGCAAACAATTTTTTTTTTCTTTAATTAAAACAAAATGCTGGGTAGGGGAAGAGGAGAAATAGCAGGGCAGTTTTCCACTGCATGTTGACAATTTGCCTTTGACAATTCAACGAAGCTCTCAAGGGCCCCAGGGTCCGGGTCTCAGTCTTCCGGGTGAAGGGGTGTAACCCCTGTGCTTAGGTTCAGGAAGTATTAAATAGCTATTAAGCATAGCATCTGCTTGACTGGGAGGCCCTCGGTTGGAGGTGTTTGGTTTTGTAAGGGGACATTCTGCCCTGACGGTGCTGCGCCATTGATCCTGTGCTCTGCCCAAGCAAACATGGTGAATCCTTGGGAACACGGCCTCCTTCAAGAAACACCATCTCAAGGGTTCTGCTTCCAGCCGCTGTCGTCCTTGTTGTTGTGCCAGCCTGTTCCTCATCACTCCAGGAATCCTAAGGGGTGACAGAGGATGGTTCTCACAGAGGGTCCCGGACCAGCAGCATCAGCACTACCTGGGAACTTGTTAGAAATGCAAAGTCTCAGGCTCTACCTAGCCCTGCCGCATCTTGGGGCAGGATCCAGCAATTTGTGTTTTAACAAGCTCTCCTGGTACCGTGGCACCGGCGTTTTGTGGCAGAATTCTTGCTTCCCATGCTGGAGACCCAGGTTCAATTCCTAGCTAATGTTCCTTATGCACAGCCACCACCCATCTGTCAGCGGAGGCTTTTGTGTTGCTGTGATGAACAGATTTGAATGGCACTTCTAGACTGAGACTTGGAAGAAAGGCCTGGCTATCTACTTCTGAAAATCAGCCAATGAAAATCCTATGGATCACAGCAGTCCAATCCTCTTATGCAGCTGCCATTAGTCGGGAGCTGGAGGGCAGCTAACAACCTGGTGGTGCTGATACCTGCTCAAGCTGGAGTGCCACTGCCCTGATGAAGCAGAAGACTCCACTCTGGTGGCGGACTGTCTGGCTAGGCATTCACCTCCAGGGCGTCTGCTGTTCAACCCCCCAGGCTCCCAGCCTCACCAGAGGGTGGGAGCAGGGTATGAGGACGAGAACATGTTGCTAGTGCCATTCCAGACATCCTGGCAAAGAGTTAGATCGCCTCAACCTGGGTTATCTTGCAATCCTGATTTCTGGCTGTAGCGTCCTCTGCAGTCTGAAGCACCAGTACCTAATCAGTGGGAAAAAAACCAGCTCTTGTTCTGGAAGTGTCTACTTTAGATTTAAAAAAAAAAAAAATGGGGAGGAGGATTTAAGTAATTTAACTTGTAAATAATTTAAAACCCAGCGTTAAACTTAAATATGTAATTTTGCAGAATACAAAATTCTTGTGTATTTTCTTAAAAGAAAAAACAGAGGGATTCAAAACCTTCTCCCACATTTGGTGAACCGATTTGGCCTGTGCCTCCCAGACTCACCAAGGGTAGGCACTGCCTCGCCTCTGTTCTCAGACTTGCCTTGTTGCATACAAGCTGCTCTTCTTGGACTCCATCTCCCTAGCTGAGAAATGGGGCAGGGGCTCAGACACAGCCCTGCCTGTGTAGGCTTTGGGCTCCCCAACCTGATCAGACAGTGTGGTTCCTGCTGTATGTTCCCAGACTGTCGGCTGGTCCAACCAAGAGACAGGTGACCCGCGCAGCCCCAAGGGGCACGTGAATCGTAGGAAATTGTGACCGCACTGTGTGGTGCTGTGGAAGCCAGGCCTCATGCCCCACTCTGGGCCCTCGGTCCCCCACAGCTCTGCCAGCCGGGCCAGGGATCAGGCACAGTGTGACCTCCATGGGCCTTTATGGGCCTCAAATTTTAAAAATTATATTTTATGACCACATTGGTATAAAGACCCATTTAGTCCAGGCTGGATTATATTCATCTTCTATCTTCTGATCTGTAAAGAAAGTAGAATATTTCCGAGGTCCCCTGGTGTTGTGCATACAGGCTCCGTGGAGAAGTGGCCTTGCAGGGTATCCTCTGAGAAGTCCCCTGAGTTGGGAGCACAGAATAACTGGCCCTCTGGCCCTCTCGTTGTTTAGAAAATTGGCTGTGATGGCGTCATCGGGTCGGCTGCCAAAGAAGACCGGTGCGGGGTCTGCAACGGGGATGGGAAGACCTGCCGAGTGGTGAAGGGGGATTTCAACCACACCCAGGGCTCAGGTTAGTACCGGCCAACGGGGCTCGGCTGCATGGCCGGCGCCAAGCATGTCCCGTCAGGTCCTTTGCCCAGTGTTCAGTGATTCTGTGTGCACCCTGCATTTCCTACTGAGAAACACTCTGGTTTTACAATTTCTGAAAGGCACTTCAGCACAAATTGTGTCTTTATTTTAAGCTCCTAGAAGCAAGTAGTTTGCCTACAAGAGGAAACACTTTCTTGCCCTCCGTGGTCAGGCCCCCGGGTCCATGAACAAGGCAGTAGTTGCCCAGCCCCAGAGAGCTCCTATGATCCCTCCCAGCTTCGTGTCCACCATCTCCTGATGTGCACCAAGAGAAGGTGACGACACTTCCACTGAATCACTTTTACTCTGTTTCAAATTTCCTATCAGTTACGGTACAATAGCATCCACACGTATCTATAAAGTGTACGTGAAGCTATGTGCTCTGGGAAGCTCAGCTGTCCCTGTCCACTGAGACTCCAGGGTAACTGTCTCTTCCTCCTCTTCCCAAATGTAGAAATCCCCCAACACCATCCTCAGAGAGGGATTGCCAAGTGCAGCTCCTGGGCCTTCTTCCTCTTTCTGTTTGAACCATCTTCACAGCCCCAGGTTCTTTACCCAGAGGAAGGAGATGGTTTTCTGACCTCCTGCCCTGGGAGTGCCAATGTGTGATGTCCAGGGAAGAACTGTGGTTGATCCTTCACGAGGGGCACATGAGGCAGGCAGCTCACCAGGAGGGAGAGCTCTCCCCCTGAGCCCTAGGAGTGTCCACTCACCCAGCCTCAGCCGAAGCCTGTCAGCACGAGCCCTCCAAGCTCCCAGCACTGTCCCTGTCCCCATCCTGAGCCTCCTGCTGCCAGCCATCCTCAGGCACAGGGTAAATGGGGATTGGAGCATGTTCCAAGGGCTTGGGAGGAAGGAAGCTCTGCTGGTGCTCCAAGATGGGACCACCAGGTGAATAAATTGTGGCAAATCAGACTTGGCAAACAGTAATCTCTGCCAAGTGTGGTTTTGAGATAACATCGTTTTCTTTCTTTTTGAATACCAGAATCATTGTCATTTCCATGGTCTTTTTGTATATAACCTTTTCAGTTCAGTCCCATGAAGCCTGAGTATAGAACAGGGCTAGGGAGTAGGGCAGAGAGGAGAAATCCTTGCATGCTCCCCCTTTATCTCTGTGGATAGGAGACCTGGCCTACAGGAAACGTTCCTTGTAGGCACCTTGAGGAAGGACAACCTGTTGCACAAGCGTTCTGCGAGCTGCTGGGAGAGTAAAACTAGAGGCAAATGCAAGGGCAAAAGCATGAAACTGCAGGCCCAGGAGGGGCTGGATTCAGGATTTGAAAGGCAGGTGCTCTGTGTCAGAACTCAAAGCTGATGGGAGAATCTGTGTCTGCCACACGGCTTCTGAGGTGACCTGAAGAAGCTGATGCCGGAGCAAGTCAGTTTAGGGCAAATGTGCCCTCTTGAGCTGCGCTGTCCAGTGTAGGAGCCACTGGCCACTGGAGACTTTTAAAATTTAAATTAATTAAAAATAAACAAAATTAGAAATTCTGATCCTCAGTCTTACGAGCCACATTTCAGTAGTCTGAGGCCACATGGGACTAGTGGCCGCCATATTGGACAGTACAGAGGTCACTTCTAGCATCACAGAAAGTTCTATTGGACATGCTGCTTTCGTAATTTCTGCCACTTGTTTTGACGTTTTGATACCATTTTCTCTCTTTGTACCCCAACCCCCAGTTTCCCATGAGGCTTGGATCTTGCCTATTGCGGCTGTGCCAAACAGCCATGCCTACCCTGCCCCCTGGGCAATTCTGTAGAACACTAAGGAGGACTCGACCACACACGCCTGAAAGCTGCCTCTGTGTGGACACAGCAGCTCACTTAGGAGAGAACCCAGATTAGGGCAGAAGTCTCATCTGTCTGCTGGCACTTGGTATTGGCATGGTTAGATCCACGATCGTCCATAGTAACACTCCCCTCTTCCTTCTGCCCGCCCTTTCCCCATTCCACCTTCCCTGCCTGGGTCCTCTCTGCGCACAGGAGGTAGGTAGGTCAGCCTGCTGAGGCTGAGTGACCATTCACCCAAGGAAGGACACACAGCTGTTGGAGGCCTCCTTGGGATGACTGTCCCCCCTTCCCTGTGTGCGTACGCTAATCCTATCAGCTTAGATAGGAGGGTACCTTTCATCTCTGCCCAGCTCAGAAGAATGGGGAGAGGAGGAATGTCTTATCACCCTGAAGGATGAATATCAAAGAGAAATGCCATACCAAAAAGACAAAATGAGCTCCAGGGCAGGGTTTTTGTCCAGCTGGATGAAGCCCTGACCCCTGCCTGAACTCTTCTGGGTGCTCTCACCTAAGTACTTGGGCAGAGACTCCAGAGCCGACTCACCGGGTGAAGTGCCACGCTCAGTGGGCGAGTAGCCCAGGATGTTCCCTCCTGTGTCTGTGAGGTTCCAGCACAGGGGTGGGAGGAATGGCATCTTGGGCACAGGCTGCTTACTATCTGGAGGAACAAATGAGGTCCTCAGCAACCCTTTCGTAAAAGGAATCAACTCGAATTGCCTATCTTGTTGCTTTTTTGATGGATGGACTTGTAAAATGGTCAGGCTTTGATTGAGTCGAAAGAGCTGAGTTAGTTGAATTTAGTAATTTGGTAGTTCTTGGTATGATGTTTTCAAGTCATTCATTCAGTTGTCACTTTAATGTTATTACCTCTATTCCATCCTACTCCACAGCGCTGGAAAGACAACTGGTCAGATTCAAGGTGACTGCTGCCCATGGACAGCCAGGTCACATCTGGACCAAGGTCCCCACCGAGAACCAACTAGGATGCCCTTCCTGCTTTGTTCTTAAAGAACCTGATTAAACAATCATTTTTGAATAGAGAGGGTGGAGTGTTCTATCCCTTTTGAATGGGTATGCAACTTATTTATTCAATAATCACTTGTAGAACACCCACCCTGTGCCAGGTTCTGTGCTCAGGTCTCTAGGGTTGGGAGTGGACCTTCCTTGGGAAGATTCGTTATTGTGTGATGATGATACACACTGGTGCCTCTTTACACTAGGATTAAGAGCTGCAATGTCAGTTCTTCAAATGTAGACGTAAACCAATTACGATGTATTTCTTTCTCCCAGTCAAGAATAATCTTTGTACGAAGGTGTCCACGTGTGTGATGGCAAAGGCTGTTCCCAACTGTTTCTCATGTAAGACGTTTGGATATTACGTGTTGTCTTAGTGGTGGCCTGCTTGGTGTGGGTTTCTTGCCTCGCTTTCATGCCTGAATGTTTTCTGTACGAAGTCAATGAGAATGAGCCGTGCATGAAGCCATGAGTAAACACAAAGGCCATCTAGTGTTTATATATAATTGGCATTCAAGACCACTTGCCAAAAGGAAAAACTACAGAATAAAACTAATTTTAAAGCTATGAAAGATGAAGAGGCATGGGATTGAGAGGTTGAGAGGCCAGAAAGAAACAGTGATTTGAGAAAGTGCATGAGCTAGGGAGAGTCATAGAACAGTCCCCCAGTCAGCTTTGACTCTCTTCAATTTTTGGAAGAAAAAACCGTTGATTTTATTTTTGTCTACCATTCACGTAATTGCTTCTCACTTCATTTCAAAAAGTATTGGGGTAGCTTATGTGTGTTTGGGAGCCCTGGTGGCTCAGTGGTTAAGAGCTCAGGCTGTTAACCAAAAGGTCAGCAGTTGGAATCCACCAGCTGCTCCTTGGAAACCCTATGGAGCAGTTCTACTCTGTCCTGTAGGGTCACTATGAGTCGGAATTGACTCGACAGCAGTGGGTTATGTGTGTTTCAAATGGGGAGGGAGCTGTAGAGAAGTTAGTTCAAAAGTCAAGAATTATTCTGACATTTTAACAGGTATGGGGTACCACTACTAGCTAGCAACCTAAAACATTGTATTAAGGTATACAGTTCCAGAGTGGACCTGAATTCTTCACTGTTATTTCTTCTAAAGTAATAGAACTCTGACACAGCAAAATAAGGGAGCAGTATTTCCACAACTGTAGGGCTGGAATGTTTGAGCACTTTTGCCAAGGATACTGCTTATTGTCTAGTGCGAACTCCTGGCTCATAAGTCACAACCACAGAATGAACCAATGACTGGGTTAGAGGCTCACAGAGAGTAAAGAGAAAGCAAGGAGGGCTCCTCTGGGGTCTGGCATTGCCCCCCAGGGAGATGCCCCAGTGTGCTGGGGCATGTCATCACTCTCCTCGGCCACAACTGGCACTTAGGCAGAAATGCTGAGATGTGCTGGAGAGTTTAGCCACAGCTGGCATTTTCCTCCATAGGGAAGTTTCCATAATACAGGACTAGATTTGCCTATGGGCAGAAGGGCACTTGGTAACGTCCCCCTGGTCTTCTTACTGGGAATAAAGGCCATGGCCTTGCTTTGGCCAGTCTACATTGACCCTGCATTCTGAGGGACAAGAAGAGCGGTCTAGCCGTGTGGGCTGTGGGCTTCCCAAGCAGTGAGCTCACTACAATTAGACCCATGAATAAGCTTTAGGGGTAAACACAGGATGGGAATATTCTCATAAATAACTTTTGTAGAAAGGGGAAAAATATAAGTTTACCCCAAATCTTTTTTGAGTAAGTTAATTAAAAAACATTTTTTAAGTTCGTTACAAAAAAAGAACTTTGACTTTTTTTTATTTAATTTTATTTTTGGTGAAAATACACACGCAAAACCTGCTCCCATTCCACAGTTTCTAGACATAATAATCAGTGACATTGATTATACTCTTCACATTATGTCAGCGTTCTCACTATTTCTGTTCTAGTTGTTTCACTTCCATTTACTTTATCTACCTGCCCCCCAATCTTCTCATCTATGCTTTAAAATAGTTGTTGCCCCGTTGGTCTTGTATAGAATTTTTTTTAAGAAACACAATACTCAAAGGTGACAATCTTTACTCTTTGGGTTAAACTGTTACTTAGTTGAAGGGTGACTTCAGGTGATAGTTTCAGTTCAAGG